AACCTTGTTTTGACTGCAGGATATGGAACAAATTAACATCTATTTTTCAGACAAAAACATAAAAAAATATCGACAAGCTACGTTTAATGATTTAACACCAATTAGCTTTTTTAAGTGACAGGATTCCAACACATTATTCATGTCAAATTTCATGTTTTGACTTGTCAGGTATTCTGACATCCTGGAACATACCGAATATATTCAGTGGTTTTAAATATGACACTGACAGAAATGGATGGATGGGTGGATGGGTGGACATAGCTTTTAGGGAACACGATTACGTGTGAACACACAAATCTAGTGTTTTTTCCCCCAAATCAAATCCCATCTTTTCCCAGACTGCAACAATACTAAAGTTAAACCCCACTCCATTTACAAGCAACATTAAAACAGGGGTCAAATTTTAATGAAGACTCAAGAAGTAACTTTTATACAAACTGGTGTATTAAATAAAAAGAGCAGCAAAGATAACAAATGGGTGGGGTAGGTGAACTGGAAAATATCAGTCCAAATGCATCCCTGCCAGCAAATGTTTCTGTTTGTGACTTGGCATCATGTACAGAGACTCTGGACCGACTCTCAGAGCCTGCAGACCACATTAATCCAAACAGAGCAAGTAAAGCCTAAGGAAATAACGAGCCTTAGCCAGGAATGGAAAATGCTATCTTCTTAATCACATCTCTCCCCAGATAAAAAAAACCAACAACAAAGCAGGTAGAATAAAGGCATAATAACATGATTAAAATAAATAGTCATTTCCTCTGAGGAGTCTCACCAGCAGGGAAGCCCATAACGTTAAAGATTCGGTCCAGCTGGTCATGGTGGTAAGGGTTGCTGGTCTTGATATCTTCCTGACGACAGTGGAATATGGGCTCAGACGTAAGCAGCTCCGCAAAAATGCAGCCAATCGCCCAGATGTCTGGAAGGAAAGCAGAGCAGACACTCACCCAGAGTTTTCCACCATACGGCCGGTCGCAACGCGTACAAGAGAAGGGGAGCACAACGCCTCACCGATGGCTTTGGTGTAGTGCCGAGCTCCCAGCAGCAGTTCAGGCGCTCTGTACCAGAAGGTGACCACCACGGGGTCGAGGTCAGCTAAAGGCTTCAGCGGTGAATTGAAGAGACGGGCGAACCCCATGTCCGCTGCAAAACGAATAAATTAGTTGATGAAGGTGGTCAGCTGAAACAGTAAGCGGGATGTAAACATTTTGAGGCCATGCGTACCGATCTTTACTCTTCCCCTCTCTGGCCCTTCTCCCATCACTAAAATGTTGGCTGGTTTCTGACGGCGACAAGACAAACATTAAAACAACATTCCAACTTTTGTTTGGTTTAGTTGAGGAAGTTCAACATTTAGTATTGTTTGTTGCTGCCCTCTAGTGGAAAAATGATGTTTCTTCATCAAACTATTGACAAAAGCTAACATTTGAGATCTTTTATGTAATTTATTATCTAAGGATTAATTGATTTAATTGTGACAAATCTATCATTGAAATGATCATCAACTATTGTAGTAATCAATTAATCGCTAACTGTAGTACACAGACTCAACACAACATAGCTATAGCAGTAACTGAGCTAAAACTGTAGAAAATATATATATAAATTTTACATTTAAGATAAAAACACCTTTGTCTGTCAATACGAGATACCCTCAACTCTTCAAGTGGCATAGTTTTATCTTCACCCAGTTTCAATTCAGTAAAAAGTAGGCTAAATTATCGCATTTTAGTCAATAAAACATTTTTTTCCAATTTAAAATAATTGAATTGTTTATTTGCAAATTTAAGAATTTCTACTTTGTATGAAAAAGATTACATGAAAAATATGCAGAATATGCCAATTTATTCTGATTAAATTGATTGTCATAATAATAAATGAATAATAAATTCAAAAAGTAATTGTTAGTTTCAACCCAATTATTATCATCTCACAGTTATTTAAAAAACACAAAAAACCCCACTCAAGTTTAGTATCTAATTGTGTAAATAAGTGAACACTTTCAACCCTAATGATGTAATAATTAACAGATTGCAAGCAGACTGATCTAAACAGCCAGCCGTCTTACCAGGTCTCTGTGAAGCACCCAGTTAGTGTGGAGGTAATGGATGCCGTCCAGAATCTGGTAGAGCAAAGACTTGACCATTCCTCTTGGAAGCTGAAGCGGCTTCTTGTTGGCCTTGGAGGCTCTGTGAAACTTAATAATGTGCTGAGGGAAGACAAGATAATAGTTGATGTAGCCTGCGTTGGCATTTGGGTTTAAATGCATGAAGCTTTTCATACTAAATTATAAACATTAAGCTAGCTACAGGGAAGATGGGCAGGGCTGATATGCGTGCCATGTGTTTCCACTTGTTTCAAAGGGCATTGTAACTGTTGCAGCTATGTGGCAGAAAGAGGTATTTAATTCAGCTCTGATGGTCTGCCAGTTGTAGCTGCAGTCTGTAATGCAGCGGAGGTTTAACTACCAAATGTGGAGAACATCTTGGTTTCTGTGTGTGTGTGTGTGTGTGTGTGTGTGTGTGTGTGTGTTTCGCTGAGGTTTGGCACTGAACATTCATTCAGTTATGTGTATTGATTGGAAAATCGGTGAAACGCTGCAGCTGAGAATGTTTATGTAAATGCAAAAAAAAAGAAAGAAAGAAAAGAACAGAGAGCGAGAAACATGGTTCCTACACATTCTTCGTGTTCCAGCTCTGTACTTTTCCAGAATCAAATTGAGAGAGTTCATTTTTAAAATGCCAAAGCCATTAAGAGTTCACTGCAGGTATTTCTACTGAGGTCTACCTCTAACTGTAAACCCTGCAATAAGGAAATTGGAAGAAAGGAAAGACAAGAAGAAAGGGAACATTTTGGAAAGAAGGTATGGGGGAAGATAAAAGGAATGAGAAGGAATGAAAAAGAAAAACAAGGGAGGAATGGAGAAAGGAAGGCAGGAAAAGTAAAGAAACACGCTATGGAAAAAAAAGGAGAAAAGCATGAAAAATGAAGGAATGAAGAAGGAATGAAAGGATGTTGAAAGAGGCCAGTAAAACTACAGAGCAGTAAGAAAAGAACAAAAGGAAGAAAAGTAGGAAGGAATGAGGGTTAGAAGAAAAAAGGATCAGGAAGCTCTGAAAAATAAAGGAAGGAAAGAAAAAAAGAGTAATAAATGAGAAAAAAGAAAAATGGAAATAAGGAATAATGGAAGGGAAGATAAAGCTAAAAAGAAAGAAGAGGGGGCAGACGAATATAGGGGAAAAGAAAAGAAGAAAATTAATGAAGGAAAAAGGAAAGAAGGATGTAAATAAATTAGGAAGAAGGGGAGTAAGGATAGGTAGAAATACAAAGGCATAAAAGTAAGAAAAGAAAGAATGAAAGACAGAAGGGAGGCCAAAGCAAAATTAAAAGAAAGAAAAGGAGAGAAGGAGTGAGAGAAAGAATGGGCAATGGAAGAAGAGAAGGAATGAAGGGATGGTCGAAGAAAGGGAAAGGAAATGAAAGAAGATGGATATAATACAATATAAGGCTGCATAATATATTGCAGATACATCATTATTACAATGAGAGTAACTGGAGGGCAATGATTGTTGGCTGATAAACTCCAATGTGTGTGAAGCTGAATTTACATCTTAACGTAATATTTAGTCCTTTTCGACAGAGTCTCACAGTGGAAGATGCTCACACTGGACACAAATGATATTGCTCACAATGCTCAAGGTCACAGAGTGATGGAAGCACAGACGACAAAGACAGGAAACAAGAAAAGTATCATACATCACAAACCGTCATCACAACATTTACCAACATTTCTGCGAGATTTCCTAACAACAGAATGTCAGAACAGAATGAAGGCTAGAAAATACAGTTCACAAAACGCAGCGCACAGCATGTTGCTTTATGAAAGTTTGCATTTTTTACCCAGAGATCGTGTTCTGCGTAGTCGAATAGCAGCCACACTTTACGGTCAGCGTGCGACAGGAAAACCTTCTGCAGCGAGATCACGTTAGGGTGCTTCAGCTCCCGCAGCAGCTGCAGCACAAAAACCCAATCAGAGGAATATCTGAGCAACCTCGGGAAAGGTGCGTGACAATGACAGTAAGTTCTATGCTAATTATTTAAACGAACGACTGTGGAAAATGGTAGCTTAAAAACATACAGCAGACAACTAATGTTTTAATTTTCAATTGTTTTTGTTAATCACAGGTGATTATTTTGCTACAGCGGTGAAGAGTTGCGTGAGCCGCTCCTCACAGCCCGAAAGGAAAACCAGAAGCGACTCTTACTGCAATCTCTCTGCAGGCCGACATGGAGATACCGGTGCCTTCAATCTGCTTGAGGGCGTAGTCCTTATCGTCCTTCCTACAAACACAGAGAGAGAGAGAGAGGCAGAGCAGCATCAACACCAGGCCAGACCGCCGGCCCCCGAGAGGGACCCATACGCAAACAGAGATGAAGGCCGGGGCCGCCTGGCAGCAGCTGGCACGGGAACCGGGGAGAAGAGGCCAAGTTGCATTACCTCCAGATCTGTGTAATCAAGCTCACCTCTGAGACTTTAAACAATAAGAAGGGGAGAGGAAACAGGCTCTGCCTGGCAGCTAGTGCGGCACAAACAGAGCAGGAGGGCTTTCTCATACGTGAACGAATTGGTTAAAGCTCCCTGCCTCCCCCCAGGCCCCCCATCGGCCCAAATCCTCTCGTAAACCCAAACTCTGTGACTTTTCCAGAGTCGGTCTAAAAACAGCAGATTTACTTCATAAACAGCGGCAACTCCGACATCTTTAAACACTTTGAGCTTTATTTAGTGGTTCCTGTTGGTGCCAAAGTCCAGGCTGTGATAATGGCTCCTGCATGGAGCTCCTTCCAGCTACGGTCTGCTCAAAAGAAACTGATTGCAAACAGCAGGAGACATTTGGAAAATATGCGTGTAGATTTATTCTAGATTTCCCCCAGCAATTGGTGGGTTCAATTATAAAATGACTGAAAGGCAGAAAGTTGGAGCACAGACTTCAATTTGTTTTAATTGGTCTTACTGCACACTAAGTGGTGCATAGGAGGTGTGTAGTTATTTAGCCTCACACCGTCCCCACAGTGAGACATGTTGATGGCAGAATCATGCTGTGCGCTGGTTCTCTTGTGGCATTTAAATAACCGGGGTTTTTTTAGTAGATTTGAAGGTCAGCCACACTTTCCAGATTATAATTTGTTAGAAATGTTGACATTAAAATGACACAAAGCATCCACTTTATAATGCACCATTTTCAGTCAGTCAGTCACATAAAAAAAATAAAAAAAAACAATAAAGTTCACTAAACCGAAAGAGTAACACACAGCATAATGTCACAATATTTAGAAAGGCTCAAGAAGTGCAACTTGTGTTGACGTTCTGCCCATCTCAGGTTTAGTTTCTGTTGCAGATGTATGCAAATGTATTGCAAGTGTAAAATCATGGAGAAAACAAATCAGCTAATTAGCACAATATTTACATTTCCAGAGTCTTCCGAACTAAACACAAAGGAAGCCTCTGTTACAATATTGTCGGGTGGAATGCCGTATTGTGGTTTCTCACACACACAAAAATAGAAATAGCAACAACAACAACAAAAAAAAAAAGCCTGAACAGAAAGAGAAAAACCAAAGGGGTTTTCCAGTAAAACGATACCAAGGCTGAAAACGTTCACATAAACTGAAGCTGAGTTTTAGGGAATTTTGAACACCTGTTATAAATCTACCAGAGTTTTAGGCATACATTATGTATGAAATTATCATTCATGTAACTGGAGAGAAATGCGTGCATCTGCTAAAAACAATATTTTACTATATTAAGAGAGAAGCAGTTTTAGTGGCTTGTGACAAAATTGGATCCAAAAAAGAATGTTTCTTTGGATCATAAATGTTGCAGATTGTTGAATTATCCTAATGTTCCTCAAAAAAGGGATAATTCTGCACAACAAACAAATAAATCTACTGCTAAATTTAGCAGGTGTGTTTGTGTTACATGTTTGCTTGTGTCTAGCTATATTAACTAAAATAATCATCAGTGGTTATTGATATTATTGTCACTGCAGGAATCAATATTTCACTTTAGTAGAAATTGGGATAATTGACGCTTTTCTGTTTCAACTGAAAACAATAAGGTCATTTTAAACATGATTACTGTTTTGTGGGTCCATGGATGTTTATAGTGCGTTTTATTTTATTGTTGCATAACTTTGGCTGTGTGGGAACAATTTGGCCAGTCTGGGTAATCTGGACAAAATTTATCTATGCCTTTCCCCTTCCCTTTCAAGTACTCAATATACTTTTCTGAAATAAAGCAGTGTCTTGTTGACATGCTTTGTGCCGCTGAATCTAAATGATTTTCTAACCACAATATCAAGCATTTTAATTGTATTCTCTCAATTTCTGGGTGAGGAATAGTGACCAAAGTGCCATGTTTAACCGCTTTCCCTCTAGATGAAAACATTCTTTTATTGTAGAGTAAATCCACCAATTTGCAAATGTGGGATGGGAAATACAAAAAACAAACAAACAAACAAGAGAGAGAATTAACAGTCTTGCGAAAAAACAAAAACAAACAAAAAACAAAAAAGTGTAGTTGCAATTAAAAGAAAAAAAAAAAACTTCCTGGCAATATATGCATGTCTTCCCATGTATGTATTGAAAAGGGGAAACCAAAATGTTTATTTACAAACAATTTTGCACAAAAGAAAATTTTAGACTCTTTAGTGCCTATAGAGCCCACCCCCTAATTTGCATACGAAGAAAATATAAAAAAAAAACCTCTTTTATAAAATAAAATAGAGGAAACGCTTTAATCGCTAAAGCAGTTATTTCAGGGATAATTAAAAAAAATCTATACATATTTGTTAGACATGCTACGCACTAATGGTAATTAAATAAATACAATCTACATACATATATTTAGCAATCTTAGCTTCAGGTATTTTTCTGTGTAAAAGCAGAAAAATGAAGGGATCACCATAGGGCAACTTTTTTTAATACCGTGATATTTTTACTCAAGTAATCATTGTGTCAGAATCTCACACCAATTCATGTGCGGAGAAAATAACTGTAGTAACATAAATAGGTAAACGTCATCAGCCTATATGCACCTGCCAAATCCGACCAATGAGCGCCTTCACTGTCACAAATCAAATAATATCTATTATTAAAAACAAAAGCATGCCATACAAGAGAAAGGAGAGCCCCTGTCACAATATTAAGTCAGTTCACATATCTCCATATTGTCTGCATGGATATGCAGCAGTAAGCCTGGCTCTCTTGAAGGGGAGAGAAACGAGGAGTCATTTAAATGTATTTGGGAGAAGGAGGAAGGGAGGGGTGCTGGCTGCCTAGCTGGAGGCCTGCAGCTCATCAAACTCACCCATCTTTTCTCTTCGCCTTGTATACATGACCGTAGGTGCCCCTTCCCACTTTGCATCCTTCGTACTCAAACAGGTCCTCGACTCGCTCTCTTTCGCCGGTGAGCTTCACTTTAAAGTCATAGTCCATTTTCACCACTGTTTGGCCTGAAGTGTGAGCACTCCTTCCTTTATTAAAGCGTCGTTTTGGGAGGCAACTGTGCTCCTCCAACGAGCTCGGTTCGGTATTTCAGCTGGTTGCCTTCCCCAGCGTGGCCCTTTCTTCTTTTAACCCAGCTTCCACATCGAGCTGTCGGGGTAAATGTAATGTTCCGGCGAAGGGATGCGCGGTGAACGGAGTTGGTCCACGGAGAAGCGAGCCCGAATAAATGTTATTTTGTCTTGCTGCTGCGTTTCTCTCAGCCGGTATCTGCTCCAAAGAGACGCACTTCACTCGGTATCGACGGCGTATTCACGCACGGCAGTGTCGAAAAACGTCGTAAAAGACAGACCTTGCAGTTGTGGTGGCGTGAATTTTGGCTTTTCCTAGGGATCCGGATAATTTGGTCGGCTCTTTTTAGTTCTGAACGATTCTTCTTCTTTTCTTCACTTTCCTTTATTATGCTATTGCAATGTACTCATTTTTTTTCTTGTTTTATGTTTTCAACATGTAAAAGAGTTGCATTGAAATACATATTTCGTGAAAATCACAAAATATGTTTACCTTCAAATTAAATTAGAGAATTTCCTTTGTAAAACAAACAAACAAAAACATTAAGAAAAGTTATGGCATACTTTGTGCTGGACTTTCACATTAAACATAAAAAGTACAATGAAGATTGGGTACTTGTATACTTGAGGAATATTGTATCATTAGCATTTAGGAATAACACATGCTTTTATGATTAAGCAGTGTGTTTATGTACACATTATCTACGGCAAGAAGCCACTCTTGCCATAAATAAGAGTGGCTTATCTACAGCCACTCTTATGAAAAGTAGTCCTCTGATAATTTGTGCTTATAAAAACACAGCTCAATCAGTTTCTTACAGCTTCTCCATTGATTCTAACAAAATGCTTTTTGTTCAAATAATCACAAACATATTTCTAGCTGTATTAATTTTAACCTGCTATTTATTCTTAGATGGCACACACTGGAGCACGCAGAATCTGTTAATAGTACAGCTTGAATGTGAGTTCCAACAACACAATGGAAAAAAAAAATGTAAAAGGAGCTGGCATCTAAAATAGGCTCGGCCATGAATGACACATCATTATGCAGTAGAGAAAGAATATGGGAAAATGGACAGAGAAGCTCATACTTTTAAATGCCAAAAACAATTTTTATATTTTCACATTGTTGCATTGTAAATGCACCTCAAGCTATCAACAAAAAATCTAATTAGTTTTATTATTTATTACATATATTGAGTACATCTTATTTCCAGTAGTCATAGCGCTTATTTGAATTTTTTGGTAATGCTTTTTCCAGTCCTAACAATACATAGCAGTTATAGAGATATGTTTAAAAGATTCGGGATATTTCATAGTAATCGATATAAATGTAAATTTGACATTCAGTGGAAGACTAACATCTTTTTCAACAAAATCACCACTTTGAATATTGGTGGTGGCAGCAACATGCTGTGGGTAGGCTTTTTTCTTCAGTAGAAGCAGGGAAGGTGGTAGAATAGTTCAATTCAGCTACAGAACAGTCCTGTGGAAAAATACTGTCAAAGAAAAGAAAAAAAACAAACATGACAATAACATTTATAGATAGTACCAGACGGTGTATTTTTTCTCCAAAGTATATGTATTGTGATAATAAAAATACAGCTGGGTAATGAAGCATAGATTTCAAGTTCTGGATTTCATTTAATTCAATGTTTTTAAGAAGCATATTGGGGGAAAAAAACCCTGCTTCATTTGTATTTGGGAGGTTATAGAATAAATATGATCAGCTGACTTTACTAAACACTATTGTGGACAAGCAGCATTTAGCTGTTTTGGACAAATTCTGCAGCACTCTTACTTAAGGAGTTATAATATACGTGAGCTTGGGTCCAATGATCTTTCAAGCTATTAGAAGCTCATTGGAGGAATAAATTGTATTTTGAATGAATAAGAAATTATAGCAAAATCAAACAAATTTCCTCTATGAATGTATTTTTGATTTCACATATTCATTTTACCAGGCTATAAATTATGTTTTTCATGCCCTTTGATACTAAAGATTTAACACATATATTTTACAACTAGGCTCCTTTCTTTCAGACTGTTAAATCATACTTTTTCGATTTAGTACAAGTATATTCCACGCGAGTCTGGCTGATTTCAAAGAAAAATCTGTAAAGTAGCTTATTAGGTCAACATTAAATAGTGTTTTTTAATCTCTTAAAGATCCAATAAAATTTTTGATCTCATTATGTCGATGGAAAAAAATATTACAAGCAAATTTTGTATTATTTTCTCGCTTATTAGGAAACAAAAAGTGTGTTACGTTTCATAGGAACTAGCGAACGACTGACGTTGTTTTTCCCCGGATAGCATTAGAATTTGGACCACTGGTCCCATCTTGGTTTGAGAAAGGAGAGAGCTGAGAGAACCGTCCATATTACAGCTGCTTTGTCAGGTACTTTAATCGCTTAATTATCGCCGTCACCAGTTGCTGATGTATGATCTAAGCAAGTGCCAGGCTTCATATATGTTATCTGTTTCATAAAATTGTTTGTCATGAGCGTAATGTTGAGCTTTTGTGGCAGTTTGCTTGTGGTGTCGACTGATTGCTACTCACTGGCTATGCTAATACGCTAGGGCTCAGTTAACACCGAGGCGTTGCGCATTTAAATGACGCTTTGCCGGCTTGAAACATCTACAAAGGTAACTATTGCGCTTCGTCTGTAGCAGAATTTCATCACCAAGTGCAAACATGTTATTTAGTCTGAGTCAAAAGTGCTGAGGGGATTCTTTGTCTTTCCTTTGCTGCTCTGCGTTTACATGGAGGAAAACTCCGTTTAGCCTCCAATGACCCGCCTTTGCAGAGCACTGATTGGATGCCTGGGGTGTCACTCATGGAAACTGGGATGGTGATTGGTTGTTGGCTGTAACAACAACGCCAGTCTTTCTGCTGTATTAGCTGCTGTCTTCTTGGGTTTTCGGCAGATTTTACTGTAACCACAATAAGTTTTCCCATTTGAGAGATACGTCGTTATTATATTTGTTAATAAATCCATCCTCGATCCACTTGTCAGATTAGGATAGCTTTACTGCCCTTACCTTCAGGGTGTTGGCACGGACGTCCTAGCCTTACCCATCACATAATCCTAACCTTTTAATGCCGTATCGATGTTGTGGACTTCGCCTTTAGTAGAGCCTTGAAAGAGTGTTTCGGCTAAACAGTTGGGTTGCTTTACACCTAATCTAATTGATTGCATCACTTCTTCAGCAGATTATCAAGTCCTACAGAATCCTGTTAACCACCCATTTATTCAAATCAGGTGTGTGAACGCAGGGAAACACCTAAGGCTTGCAGCACAGTAGGATATGAGAAAGGTTGAGAAACATTGCTTTATACCAATGTAAATGCATAATTACTTGAACATGATGTTTGTTTATTTGACCACAGTAGATTGAAACAGCTTTTGGATTTTTATCCCTGTACATCACTCTGGAATATCACACTGATATCTGATATCACTGACCAGAGCAATTTCTGTTTTTGGTAGAAGAGTGTGTCTCAACATGGCATGGTTTCTCTCCATTGCTACCAGTTGGTGGGAGGGTGCTCCCACCAACAGTTTCAGGTGCTCAACAGTTTCAGTTGAGAGAGAAATGGATTTATAAACTGATAAAGTAAACCTTCCTCTATTGGGCCAGACAGTTTATGAAATGATTCCCAGACTGTTATATGTTGGTTGGCATCATTATTTAGGAATGTTTCTCAAACTATGATGCCAGGCCTCTATTCTACATTGAGGTATTCAACTTGAATACCTCAATATATTTTAATGTTGCCAAAAAAGAAAAAAAAAGAAAAAAAGAAATGCCACTGAAATGGGTAAGGGAGCAGCATCTTAGTTCCAACAAGACCAACATGAAAAATATTATGGAGTGCCAAACCAAACGTTACACGTGCTGTTTCCAAGGCAACACCATGAAACACAGAAGTGGAGGCATGTAGTACCTTGGGCTGGAATACCTGCTCACAGGTGCGAGATGTTTGTCCATTCCATACAACAGAGACATGAAGCAGTTCTCAGAGTGGTTGTACAACTAAATATTATGATTAATGATCTTTTGACTCGCACGATAAATGAGAATATGCAGGCTTTTCCGCAAAGTAATGGTACATTTTAAACGTTTTTTTTTCATAGTTTGCTTTCTGAGTAGAGTATACATGTTCCTAATGTACTTGCAACACACTATTATTTTGAAGAGAACTGTTTGTCCATTTGTGTAATGCTGCGATTCCATGTGTGAATGAGAGTCAAACCCATCTGCCCTTGCAGCATTTTTGGTGGTGATGGACCCTCCTGGTGGGGGAAGTGAACGGCGGAGGCAGGCTGAGCGTCTTCGACGGGAGGAGGCATACTACAACTTTATTAATGAACTGAGTGAAGAAGAGTACCGCCTGATGAGAGATGGCAATCTGCTGGGCACTCCTGGTAGGATACACTTTGATTAACTCTTAATGGACTAAGTATGTTTATTCTAACCCCCAACTCTTTACCCAAGTGGTCAAGAGGTTTTTGGTTCTCAAAATGTTAAATCTTGGCAAAAGGTGTTGAATGTACGAATAATTTAGCAAATAAAGACCCAAAATGAAATCAAGTAGAATTGCTTGAGAATTTTTGACACTTGTGGCATTCCGACATATTAGATTCTGTATAATTTATGCTGTAATAGCCTTCATGTTCATACCTACCATTTTTTATAGGGGAGGTGACTGCAGAGGAGCTCCGTCAGCGCCTGGATGGAGCCAAAGAGCGGGTGTCATCTCAACCCCACGCTGAGCAGCGATTGCAGACTGCTGATTCTGGAGAACAGCAGAGCAGTAGCAGCGCAGGAGAGGAGAGAGGGGCTGGAGGAAGAGGAGGGGCAGGTAAGAAGGGGGGAAGGGATTCTATCAAGCCAAAATTTGGCTTGTGCACAATAGAATATTTGTTGCGGTTGTAACTTTGGCAAGTCAATTCCACATTTTTGGAGGCAGTTGATTGGATCTTATTTAACTTTCCCACGATCTTAGTGCGACGCTCAGGGAGCGGTGGAGTGGGGGGTTTCCACTCTCAGACTGTCTTTTCTTTAAACGGCGTACGCGGGGTCAGTGTGACCCTGCCGATCTACGCACAGTAAGAAATTCATGGGGTCTTGAAGACCCCATGAGTTATCTAGACCCCATGAGTCCAGATGGGGTCTAGACTCATGGGGTCTTGATCCCATCTGCACAAGGGTTAAGAGCATCAATGTATAGGGGCTTAAATCGAAAAATGGGTCATACTTTTCGGGGCTTTTCTTTATTTTGTATTTTTTTTCAGAATTATACACTTGATGTTGGTTTGCCACATAAAATCCCAATAAAAGATGTCGAATGCTAGGCTGCACTGTGTGGCTTTAAAGAAATAGACCCAGAACATTGTAGCTCAGATTAAATCAGAAAAATACAGTTTATTCATTCACCTGACATCATAAGTAATTGTTTTATGTGTATACACTGTTATTGACACAGCATCTTCTTTAGTTTGTTGCATATTAACTTACTAAGTCTGGCTTGCATTATTTTACTTATAGGGACTACAGAAGCTGGAGCAGATTCTTCTAATGGAGATTCGTTACTGGAGTGGCTGAACACGTTCAGGCGCACCGGTAACGCGACTCGAAGCGGCCAGAGTGGGAACCAGACATGGAGGGCTGTCAGCCGGACCAATCCCAACAGCGGGGAGTTTCGTTTCAGCCTCGAGATCAACATCAACCACGATCAGCCCGAGCCGGGAGAGCATATTGAAACTGTGAACTCTGTGGATGCCCCAGAACTCCCGGTGACTCCTCTCAACACCTCCGCCCGCACTGCTTCCCCCCTCTCCAGCTCTCGGCCTTCAGCCACTCCGAGGCCTGCGCCTTACCCCTCCCCACGCCCGGCCATAAGAAGGATCGAGACCCGGCGCACACGCAGCAGTACCACCGCTCTGTCTGTGAGCTCCGCCACGCTTCCTCCTGCAGAGATAGTCCCAGCCACCAACCAGAGGCGGGCTTCTACTTTGCACTCATCAGCACCTTCTCCTACTGTCCCTAGCCCTCCCGTTGATCAAAGCGCACCATCGCAGCATCATGTCCTGAATGTAGAGGCAGAGCACAGGCGTAATGAAGTGCCTGCTGCTCTAGACTGTCCTCGGGTGTCGCCACAGGGCGACTCTCAACCCCAAGCTGCGGGACATGAATCACGCAGCAGCAGGACTCGATCACGTGGCCGAGCGCGCAGAGCTGCGGCAGGGGGCGGAGTTGCTTCTCGTGCATCGAGGAGAAGTCGATCCCCTTTGAACAGAACACCTAGTGTCAGCACCCTCCCACCAACTGGTAGCAGCCCAAATGGGTCTATGATCCAAACCGGTGAGCCGAGCGGTGTCACGACCTCTGTATCCATGGAGACCGGGGGAATTGTGTCCGAACCCGACGCTGTGCTGGAGTCCGCCGTGGAAACGGTAGAGCGTGCAAGCGAGTCGCCCGCAGCGGGCGCAGGAAGCTCGGCGGTCAGACGCCATCCAACAATCATGCTGGACTTGCAGGTGAGGAGGATCCGGCCCGGCGAGAACAGGGACCGGGACAGCATCGCGAGCAGAACTCGATCCCGCGCACGGGTCGCCGAGAACACGGTCACGTTCGAAAGCGACAGCGGCGGGTTCCGACGCACCATCTCCCGCTCGGAGCGAGCCGGGATCCGCACCTACGTCAGCACCATCCGGATTCCGTTGAGGCGCATCAGCGAGACTGGCCTCGGAGAACCCAACTCCACCGCCCTGCGCTCCATCTTGCGTCAGATTATGACTGGATTTGGGGAACTCAGCTCGCTCATGGAGACGGAGGCGAGTTCGGAAAGCGTCGCGCCCAGCCATGCTGACGTTGGCGCCACAAATAGCAGCAGCAGTCGTTTACATTTAAATGAGAATGAGCCTGGCCAGGTTGGGACAGATGAGGCCGTTCCAGGGCTGGAGGGCCAGGTGAGGAGCGAGGATGAGCAGATTGGGCAGGCCAGATTCGGAGGCGGAGTAGTTAGCTCCGTAGACGGACGGGCAAACAGCCGAGACACCAACAACTTGGTTGAAAACGGCACCCTGCCCATCCTGAGGTTGGCACACTTCTTTTTACTCAACGACGACGAAGACGACGAGCATCCCCGAGGCCTGACCAAAGAGCAGATCGACAATCTATCCACGCGTACATACGGTCAGGCCAGCCTCGAAGGCGAGATGGGTCGCGCCTGCAGCGTGTGCATCAACGAATACACTCAAGGCAACAAGCTGAGGCGCTTGCCCTGCTCCCATGAGTTCCACGTTCACTGCATCGACCGCTGGCTCTCCGAAAACAACACCTGCCCCATCTGCAGGCAGCCAATCCTCGCAGCGCATCACGACTGACCCCACCCTCTGCTGCTTACGGCTGGCTGAGACTGAGCAAACCCAAGTGGGCTTAGCGTGTACATATCGCTTTCACCGCTTAGTTTCTTTGAAGACATCCGTTGAGTTTAAAAAAAAAAAAGGTGGAACCAAAAGTGTGCAAAACAGGAAAGAAACTATAAATCCAGAGAATTAAAAAAAGAAACTTTATTTTTTTAGATGCTACGTTTTGAGCAAGTCATTTAGCTCCTCCTGTGTCCTTAGTTGCTACTTGTTTCATCGGGCTTCAGAAGTCTGTCAGTAAACGGCTTTTATGCTTTAGGAGCTCCTGTAGCGACTGTTGAATAGTCTGACTCTAACACTTTTATGTCTCACATGCGTGACCTTCTTTTTTCCTTTTTTTTTATTTTTATAACTGACCATACAACACACTTGTCGGTTTGGTTTAATCAGTATGAGCTGTAAATAGGGCTGCACTGCTTATCAGGTTCTTGAAGAGATACAAGGCTAACATCCCAACTGCTCAGAATGGAAGAAGGACATTTGTTTTTGTTTTATTGTTGTTTTTGTTTTCTATTTTAAAGCCTAAAAAGTCCATTTTAAAGTTTCTTAAAATATGTGAAATTTGAGAGGGTTAAACAAGTTTTGTATTCACTTTGGAAATACATTCATTCTGTGCTTGTATTAATTTAAGCCCTACAGTTAAAATGCAATACAGAGATCCAGCAGTCATCCATTAAAAGCAGTCACTTTGAATTAAAACCGTTTAAAGATTTGTCGCCACAGTTCCAGTAAAACAGGCTCTTTTGATAATCAGGGATTCGGACTGGTCCGCATACGTTGTGCAATATTGAGAGAGGAAAAATATTGACTTGTTGGACATTAACTTTGTTGTCTCTCGTTGTCTTTTCCACTCCAAGACAAACTCTTCAATCAGTGTCTTCATTGTTTCTGTTGCCAGTCCACATACAGAGAACAGACTGGGAAGATGTGGAAATAAGATTATTCTGCAGTGTGTACAGTTTGTCCAGCTAACTCAAAATTCCTCATATAGCATCTGACTTGGTGTGTAACCTGATGTATTTTTTTTAATCTATTTTTTTTCCCCATTACATGCACAGAATAGCCTTTTTGTGTAAAAGAAATGGATTAAGAGCTAACCCACCCAGTACATTTGTTTCTGTCACTTTATACATAACAGCTGCAGTACACACCAGTTAACTGCATCTCTGCAGTTTCTGTGTCCCTAACTAAACTGCAGGATTGTTGCAGTACCGTGTGTAGGAATGTGTGGAAGAGTGTATGGTTTGTTTGCCTGTGTGTTTGTGTGTATAAAAAAAAGGCCTGGTGTCTGTTCGAAGCTGGTTCTATAAGAACTCTTCTATTCAATGTGTGGCCACGTAGTAGGGTTGGTGTGGGCAAAGGGTTCAGAAGTGAATATTTATTCTGTTCCTATTTAATATGATGGAAAAATCAGCCTTTGGAATATGAACTGATATATTTTGCTTTGTCATGAGAGTAAATAAAATGGCTATGATGAATATAGTATGAAAAAGAAATCGGACACTGGTTGTCTTCTCTCCTTCAAAATGCTTTGTTAGGGTACTCGCACAAGTGTTGGTACCCCTTGAACTTATTTTCACTTTGGAACTGAAAACGTAATTGTGTTTTTGTGATAGACCAACACACAGCCGTGTCTTAATTGTTCAATTTTTTTCTTTAGAAATAAAAATCCAAGAAGTGTATGAGAAACTTTAAGCCTTTAAATATGTGCTGAAGTTGGAGTAGGAGCTTCTTAAAGAGACAGAGACCCAATTTAAAACCATCAAAATGCAAAGTATTTTTTTAAGTCAGTTAAGAATTTTTTTTATAACTGAAGGTAACAGTTACTTGATTGTGCTATAAAATGACACCCATCCTTTTAAGACATGTATGCTTTGATTAAACCGTTCTATTGTAGCTCTGACTGCATGTTGAGGGTGATTGTCTCTTGGAAGGTGAGCCTCCATGCCAGTCTCAAGTGTCTGTTCAGTTCAATTAGAAAATAAATTATAATCTTAAAGGAAAATGAAATGTAAATCAAAATATCCTAGCTTCTTCAAAGAGCGGTTGTCGATGCTGATTGCTGTATGCAGAAAGGATCTTTTTAGATCAACTCAAACGGGAACCTTATTAGTTTTGTGATTTATTTTGAAAGAATCCACCGGATGCGGCGCGACATTACATATGTGAAATGAGCAAATGAACGCTGTTCGGATCTGCCCCCTTCATCGTAGCCTCCGCGGTTCAGCAGCAGCAGCGAAGCGATGATCGCCCAGCAGCTCCAGCAGCAGGAGGATCAGCGGCAGGTGAGGCGGACTCTGCCCGGTCCCGGAGCGGCTCTCCTCGGCTCTGTCGGTGAGCCGTGAGCATGTTACCGCTCCGGCCTCCTCCTCGTCCTGGTCCCTGTCACACCGATTGTCATTGTCCCATAGCAAGATGTATTTCAACCGGAGAGGCAAGAAGATCCACAGCGAGGGAGGTGAGTTAAATAACCCAGTTCACCTATTTTAAATGGCTGACCAATCAGGGTTCATCCCGCCGCTCACACTGCGACCTGTCATTGTAAAGTGCTTATCTCATTAGATCAGGCCTGTCACTGCCGGGCATTCAGCGGCCTGTCCCGTCCTGTTTGGACTCGGGTGGTTTTGGTATGTGCCTGGCATAATAACTCCGGACTGCGGCATGCACATGGGGATGACTTGCAGTATCCCAAAATCCCTTTTATTAATTTTTTAGCCTCCGGATGGGAATTCAAGGGCAACTAGTCTGCAGGTGATGGATTTATTGTGTAACCCTGATATTTTTCATCAAGGGAATCGCTAATGATGCTATAACACCGTCCAAAACTTTGGGATAAAAATATCTAGAGTGGTAACCTCATCGCTCATTCAGGTACTGAATTAACTGATTCACGACATAATTACGGTATTACATAAATCTGTAGCATTGGATTATTGCATTCCACCCACTTGGATGCATGAATGGACTCTTATTTTTAGAGCGCCTCATAGTAAAATATCTGTACATCGCCTGGGCCAGACAGTCCAGGCCAAGCACCTGCAGCACCAATCCAATAAAACCCGATTTAAAAACCACGTGACCGTCCGAGGAGCTCACCGAGCTGCCCCGCCAGGCCATCATCTACAGGTGCATCCCAATAAATCTGATCGAAAAGTTAATTTATTTCTCTTGTCAAATAAAAAAAAAGCATTTTAAGAATAATAACGTTAATGAAACCCCCCAAAATTCAGTTTACAGTATGTGAAAATTACATAAGGCCAGTACATTTGTAACGCATGTATGCTTTTTTGCCTTTCACAATAATTAGAGAAAAAAAAAAAACAAGAGGAAGGTTTAAGTAACAAAAGCTAATTGCTGAAAAGGCTGACTGTTTACAAAGTGTAGTAGAAAAGCATATTTGTAGAAAGTTTAGTGGAAGGAAAAAGTGTGTTGGAAAAACACAAGTAACGGGGAATAATCACTGCTTTGAGAGTACTGTGAAGTAACTGCCATTCAAGAATTTGTGGGAGATTTACAAGGTGTGTTCTGCGGCTGGAGTCAACACACGCAGGCATACGGAGGACATGAGGAGCAGCTGTGGGTTTGATTCCAACTTCCTTCACTTAAGTTGCCTCATGATCTGTGTGTGTGAGTATGTGGATGTTGTGTTTGTGTGTGACTGGGCCAATATGACTCAGTGTAAAATAGCTGTAAGTGGTATTTGTGATGAAAAAAAGCTCAATATAAGTACAGTACACCTATTTTCAAATATTTCTGTATCAGACAATAAAAACCATTATTGTGCTTTGCTACTGGAAAGTATTATCTGAATATGATATTGGTGGACTGTATGTCGCCTGAATCTTATTTACATTGGTTTTCTAGAGCTGGCCAAAGCCTTCACTTGTAGTCTCCCAAACCATCAGGACAGCCCCAAAGGAATCTTCATTTTATATTTATACATTGAGAATGATATGTAGCAGTTTAATATTTTTTTTTTGTTTGTCACTTCTATTTCAACCAATGTGGTTGACAAAAGTTATCTCAATGAATAATTAATAGTTAATAGTTGTCTGTGTTTGCCTCTCGGCTGAAAAACAGATAAATTTGCTTCTTTCTTTATCCCCTAAAAACATCTGTATTAAAATACTGGCAACTGGGCAGATTGAACTGTTTTGTTACTGAAAATGTTCTATGCAAAAAATAAACTTGACTTAATGGGCTTAACAAGAAGAGGGCCTCCTCCTGTTAAAACTCTACAAAAGGCACAAACTTGGGCCAGCTCTGTTCACTTTGAATAAGGTCTATTAGCTTAAAATATGTAGTTATTTTTTTATTACTTAAAGTAATTATGCTTTGGAGTTTAGAGTTTAGAACTTAAGGACTGAGTACATTGGATATAATTCACCTCGATCTCAATCTTGTTCTTTGGAAGAATTGAAATTTTTGCTGACGTTAACAGTTTTCTGCATTTTGTCTTCTGGGGTTTAAAACAGGTCTGGCTACTTTTAAAATGTAATCTATTAACAACAAAACACTTGATTTTGTAATAAAAATCACATTTGTAAACAATTCTAATGCTCTTGGGAGCCCCCTGCTGGTTTGGGAGTCCTAAACAGGTGCTGCCTTTACTACAGCCTTGCCATTTTTGGTTAAATGATCAGTTTAAGCTCCAATAGGATCATGCCAAGAAACAATCAGGTTAATTTACATAAATGTCCTTTTAAAGATCTGCTGCTTTTTCCCCCATAAGTATATTATCTTTTTCCTCAAGAAAAGCTGGAGATGAGAAAGAGGTATTCATATATGAGGCTGCAGCAGATGATTTTATGTGTGACAAAGGGTTATTTAAATGGATTGATCTACCAAAGAAGAATATTTGTCCCATTTTGGTGTTTTAAATAGCACATAGTGTCAGGGGTCTTTGTTTTTATGAGTGGCTGTATTGTTCCTGAAGCCTCCAGAAATAAAAAGCAGGGCAGATTGTGAGTGTGTCATCTGGGCCATGAGGACTTTAGGCGGAAGTTTTCTGGATCTTCTGAGTCTTAAAAGGTACATTTTTATAAACTAATTATTGCCCTGTGACTAATGTGAAACCAGAATTTTTTGTTTAAAAAACAAGCTTCCTAATACATCTTTATTTTAAAATGAATGTTGTAGGTCTAACACAAGATTAATGTTTCTACTACATAATCTAAATCCTATCTCCTCAAATAATATTTTAGTTAAACCTACTTTAAAAGTAATTTATGTTTATACATTTGCAGATATAATTTACTTTACTGCCATGCAGGTATAGCATAGAGTAATCACGTTTTAGGACATCAATGCGACATGTGAGAAGCACTCCAGCACAGTATGCTCTTCACTTTGCCTTTACTTTAATCTCTTGGAACCTGATCTCTTGGTAATTTGCTCCAATTAGTGAGCTGCTACAGGCGATGACGTCCACTGTCAGCCTGTCATATTTGCTCACAATATTCACAAACAGATCGTATTACTTTTAAAGTTTATAGATATCTAAAATAGGTCCTAAGAAAATACAACTGATAAAATTGTTCCTGCTTGATAAATTTGAATGTGTATAGCTGTACAATGGGATGCCGTTTGTAGTTACACCGTAAAAATAATTAACAGCATTAATTTGGTTTATTTAGCTATTTTAAGAGCGGCTAGAATTCCTGTTTGTTCACTCATAAAACAAAATTATTTATATAACAATTATTCAATATATTCTTTGTGTATTATCTATTTATAGCCGCTCTAAAGTAACTAAAAAGTGAATAGATTATGAACCGGAAGTGTTCGGACTAGACCGCAGTGGCGGATGTTTATGAAGAAACTGTAGTTCCATAAGTAAAGGTCTGCATGGCAATTAAAACGGCACATTCTATGTTTTTAACTGACACGGTGGAAATGTCGAAAAGAAAAAGAATCGATGACAAAGAAAACGTAACTTCGGTGACAAATGCAACCACTCAACAGTGGGGTAATAGAGGCGAGCAAACCCAACTTTTCTTTTGATATTCCACTTCCGCTTAACGGCACGCTAATTTGCATATCAGCTAAATATTTAGCTTGGATCTAAATATTTTGTTACGAGCTAAATATTTAGGTAGCAACCAAAATAGCGAGCAAGCTAAATATTTAGTCCGAAAATTAAATGTTAATTATTTTGGAATTAAATGTTTAGTTAGAAAGCTAAAAATGTTAGCTTTAACTTGAATATTTATTTGGGAACCAAATATTTAGTTTGCAAACTAAAATTTAGCTCCAAATTAATTATTTAGCTTGGAACTCTGACATTTATAAGTGTATGAATAACATGGTCAAAATATGACTGAATAATGAACACATTTTTTTTTTCTTTTTTAATGATGGGGCTAAATAAAGCAAATTATTGCTGTGAATTTTTTGCTGTGTAACTTTACAAACGGTGCCCCATACAAAGGGCCCCATTTTGTACCTCTGTTTGTGTATGTGAGTCGTGCATATCGGCGAAACCGTCAACAGCGCA